TATTGGAGCGACGTCGCGCGTCTCAGTTAATAGGAAGACAATTTTATTGCGTTGGTCATCATCAAGATTTGACAACGTAAAAATGTCTGTTTTCGCTATTAGACTCTCTTTTATGTCATAATATTTTATATAACCATAACTTTCTAAGTAACATAGGGCTATTACTTCACCATCAGGGACCGGTAAAATCGGTGTCATATTGTTAGTATGTAGTTGACGTAATAGTAAATATTTAAGTATTCTTTTTATATCTTCGGATTCGATTTTTTCATAAATGGGAACCGTTCTAAAGGAAAGCACGTCGTCTATTCCTTCAGAGCTACACAAATATTCTTTTACATGGTTGTTTATGTGTTTCCAACTGGTTAGAAAAATATCATCCATATTACTTGTCTGTACGTCAAGCAAAAGCCCACAAGCTAGTTCTTTCCATTTATGTCTGGTTAATTTAACAAACAATAAGTTAAGAAGGTCCTCAGACGTTTCACCTCGATTGTCTTGTATATCAATATAAGCACCAAGTTTTAACAGTAAACAAACACCCTGCAATTCCAGTTCAAAACCAAACAAATCGCCATAGGCACTTCTCCGTAAATATGTTTCCAGTAAGTAATGTAGCGTAGTTTTACCGAATTTATCTTGAGTGTTGACGTCTATCCCATTCAAAAGTGCACAGTGATTAAGATCATCAAGGTTGTTCGGATTACTTAACGTTAACAGCATTAACGGTGTTCGATATAAAGTGTCCGGTGTGTCATCGCTTAGATAATTAAGTAGAAAAGGACTATTTTCCAGAATTTCATTTACGTCAAAGACAGAAATTGTCATATAATGCGTAGGTGTCCACTTAAAAAGTGCATCAGGCGAACATTTGCTCATTGACTGGGACAATCGCCGAATAAAATTACAGAAATAGTTGTGAGTTGTTTTTAAATCTGCTTCCTTATAAAGGCCAAGAAACTTGTCTAAAACATAGAATAAGTTAATAGCAATAAGATGCATCGGTGTCCTGTTAAGAGGATCAAATATTTCGTTTAGGTTTTCGATTTCTAATAGTCTTTGAATATTTCCACGCATGGCTGCCTCAAAAATTTCTTTGTTTTTGCTTCTCGAAGCAACACTGTAATTAAAGTAAATAAACAGGACATAGTAATGTTCTAAGTTCATAGTAACGCTATTATATAATAGCAACCTAGCAGCCTCCTTTCTTTTATTTTCCTCAGGGCTCATCAACACTTCTGCCAAATGATGTGCTGCAAAATATTCTGCAAACGTTCGGTGCACAAATTGAGGTTTATTGCCAACAACTTCTGTGACAATACCGGTTTTTTCATTTCCGCTTTTTACACTATTTATAAGCGTAATCTTGTCTTCGTTCGGAACTAATTCTGCAGGTAACTCTTTGTCAAATATCTGTAATAGAGCCAATTTACCATGATTGCTTTGCGCAATTTTCTTTTGCTGCCGAAGTGATAAATTTTTCGGATTCTTTAAGTTTTCATTGTGCAGAATTTCATCGAATTTTATATCAAAAAATTTTGAATGTAAATCAAAAATTGTCATTGATGTAATAGCGGGGGCGTCATCAATGTTTTGCGAGCAAAATTCTGTAAAATCTTTGGTTAATACCTTAGCCAACATGTAACAGTGCAATGGCACACCCATGAAACTCTCAATGCTTTTATTTGAATTCTGTTTTTTGTGTTTCTTATGTAGAATAGAAAAAGTATTCATGTTTAGTGACGCCAAAAAATTCTTCAGAAATGGTTGTATGTCAGTATGTCGAGATTTGATCTTATGTTTCCAGAAATTTTCGAAAAATGTTAACTGCTCAGTTTTTGACAGTGGTTTGAATGTGTATGCGAAAGTTTCCAAATATCGTTCTAAATCTTTTGTGATGGCGTATGGACGAGTGGTTATCCACATTTTACGCACCTTGCTATGCTTTAGCGTCTTTACAAGTTTCAGTGTTGTTTTACAGTAGTCTGGCGCTATCTCATCAAAACCATCAAGTAACAACACGATTTTTTCTTTATTGTACAAATTACAAAATACCATTGCACGCAATAACTCCGAGGGACGAAAACGGGCGTTAGGTGAAAAGGCTATACTTCCATCTTTCTGGACAGTTAAAAGGTTAAATGCGCTTTCGCTTTCTTCACATTGAGATGATTCAACTTGTGTACATATAAAGAGGAAGTGTATTGTTTGTTCGAGTGTCACATTTTCTTCTGCATTTAGGCTTTCGAGTTTGTCAATGGTATCTGTTAGATTGGTCTTTAAAACTACAAATGGATCATTTTCTTTCTTCGATTGTTCTACCATACGTGATAGCAAGATTGATTTGCCCATTCCCGGGCTAGCGCTAATTAGAACTACATCGTTTTTCACATCACTAATATTTGTGACAGGGACATAAATATTAGGTTTCTTAAGTAGACGTTTTAGATCAGTCTCTGAATCACTATCTCTGTATACGTCAAGGTCTGAATCTGAATCAATATCTGAACCTAAATCAATGTCTGAATCTGAATCAAAGACAGGATCTTGCTCTGCAACATACTTGCGAAGATTTGTGAGAGTACCTTGGGAGGTAGTCCAGCAATACTTCTTGTTTCTTTCTTTTAGCCAATGCACATTATCATACATTTTACGAAAATAATCAAATAACTTTTCGTCTGAAGAAACAACGACAACCTCTTGATTTTTAATATTCCCGTGTGGTTTATACTCTCGTACTATGTGAAATAGAGTATCTTTTTCGATGTCTCGATTCACGATTACAGGCAACAAAGAACGGTTTGTGTAATATTGCTGGACTTCTTCATTATATTGATTTGTTTCTACTATAGCGTCGTTTATTTCTAATTCATTTGAAATAAATTTTAATAACATTTCATCGCGCATACAAAGGTCTAACTCGTTTATAGAAAGTAAATCTGTTATATGGTAACCACGGAGCTTTATAGGACCATTTTCTCTCAGTTGTCGTTTTGATTTTTCGTCGAGTTCACTAAAGCTATTACTGAAGTCATCCAGAGACAGACTTTTGATTTCTTGATTGTTGAAGCAAATAGTTTCGATAAACTCGGACTTCAGATTTTCGGGAATAGATATTATGAGGCGTTTTCGTTGTTTATTTGATGGTGGTTGTTTAGCTTTGCGATTCCGCTCGATTGCAACTTGTAACAATCGATGTAGTATGTTTACCTCAGCATTATTTAATTGACAATCTTGAAGTGATACAAACAGAGTGTTACATGTTTGTGAACTGAATGCCTTTACAGGGCACTTTTTCGTATTTTCATTTTCAATCAGATCTCTAATATCACAAAATATATATTGTTGATCAATATTCTTTTCAAAAAAAGTTTCTAAAGCTTGACATGCTTTGATTTTGCTAAACAGCTTTTCTCTATAATAGAGACAGAGCACGTCGTGCATCGTATATGCGTCGTTTTTACTATTTAAAAAGTTTGATAGATTCTCAATCACCTCATTCTTTTTATCAAAACCACAGTTGTAGTTTTTGACGTTTTCTATTCTGGCTTGGTTTAAAGTTTCGTATCCCCATATGGCAAATTGTCGCTCTACATCCACATTTGTCAGGTATCGGCCTTCTTTCTGTTTTGCCCATTCCTGTATGTAAAATTGAAATTTGCAAGCTATTGACTGTCGATCCTTATGTCCCATATAATCACCAATTTCTTTTTCGATTACATCTCCAAGCTTGGTCTCATTTATTTGTTCCACTGCAAACACTAACCTATCAAGAAATGTTCTCACTTCACCTTGCCCATTCTTTGCCTTATTGTTTTTAGGCGAAGCGAAACTTCTGGGTACTTGAAATTTGACTCCTAATAAATCTTTCATCGTTGGATCTTCTTTTTCCATTTGCTTCCAATAAGTCTTGTAGAAGATTTTCCAAAAATCTAATACATTTTGTTCTGAACCGGTTAAAAAGCTATCTCTAAATGTCACAAAATATCTAGTTTGTGTTTTAATGTCTTCCTTACCTACTTCTAAAACATTAGCTAATAACCAGTAACGGTATCTGTGAAATAATTCGTCCGCGTTGATACTTTTTTTATTGGTATTTGCAACAGCAAGAACTTGCTTCGCAAGATTCTCTGCCAGTCGCGGCGGAGGATGGGAGATATTAGCTCCAGGCTGTTCCAACTCTTCTAACAAATGGACCAGTTTGACATATAAATCTGATCCTTTTTTAATAATATAGTAATTTTTCCGTTCTTCTTCTGTGCCCAAGGCTAATATCTTGTTATCTGATAGTGTTGATGAAGCTGTTACAGGTTCAAAACTATTTGAAACGGATTCGTCGATACCAATGTTCGTGTTCATTATAACTATCACTTTTCTGCCTCTTAAAACATCCTTAAGTTCTTTTTCATTCAATATTTTATTGTATGAATTAAAATATTTTTTAACACCAAAATCACTTTCCGTATTTAATAACTGTTCTTCTGTTATTTTTAATTTTTCGTTAAGTTTATGTTTGGCTTGAAAAAATCCGATCTCATCTTTGTCATACAAGAGCAGTAAATCGTCAAGCTTATCGGCTACTTCGACCTCAGTAGCTACTTGAAACTCACAGGCTTGTCTAAGTCCGCGAATAATAAAAAGCATAGGTAGCTTTATTTGGTAGCTAACACCATGAAAGGAGTTTTTTATTCCTCCGCCTCTGTACACTGGTCCTGTGCCTATAACATTTGATTTTTTCTGATTCGATTGATTTACTGATTTCGTGCTGTTCGCCTTGAATTTATTTTTAAATTGCTCTGGCGCATCACTATTCGTTTCATCCTTGTGTGACTCTCTTAGATCAGATGAACTAGTTGACGGCACAGTTTTGTCTTCATTAAATGCACTTTCGAGGCCTACGGTAATCGTGTTGGACGACATAATCAATCTTTAACTTATCCATCAAATTTTCATACAGTTTCATTGGCCTTTTCGTTACCTTATGACGATGACGGAGCTTAGCTGGTAGTCTCTTCGGTGCGGGATTCCAAGTATTTTTATTGCATTATGGGTCTAGGAATTGCGTCCATCCAGTCCAGGTTGACTTCTGAAATGAAAAATACTTTGTTTGAAACGACAACGTCCCGTCCCACACCTTACCATGCGTTGGTAGCTGAATACTAAACGCCCGTATCTCTTTGCGCTTACGTTTTGCTGCGTGTCATCATCACCACTTGCACATTTGCTTTTTGCGCCTCTGTGATCGTAAATACATTAGGTGTTGTAGAAGCACGACTTGTTCGTCCCGTCACTTGGTGTTCGTTAATAATAAATAACAAAAATGATAGCAACATCATTGATAAACCTATATTTTCTTAAAATATTTTTTATCTTCGTCTTTTAAACATTAGAAATAAACGCCAATGAGTTTTTATCGAGCACGATATATCACAAAAATGTAAACTCATTCTATAACATCCAAAAATATTTCTTTTTTTTCACGGAAACGCATTTCAATCTTATTAATAAATGACAAAATGGATATTTTGCATTTATTTGTAAACCTATAATTCTTTTAAACATTTTTTTAATCCAATTAACTAGATATGGTGTACCCTTCTTAGCGTAGGGTGTGTTAACTCTTTATTTTAAAAATGAACATGTAATGCACTAAAAACCAACTCACGGACAATTTTATAGAGTCGACAGTTTGCGTCAGAAGGATCAGTTTAAAATTTTAATCATAGATATTTTTTATATTAAAAGAAAATCAACAATTCCTTCCAATCATACCTAGTCAGGCTTTGCACTGATAAGGAATAAGGAAAATGTTTCAAAAGATATCATCGTAGTAGTTTGTAAAGTAGCTTGCTTTCCTGAAATATCTCGAAATACTATCACAATTGCGTTATTGCGATTATCATCCTTCATAATATTATCATGATATACCTAGTGTCCGATTTATCATATCAATATCCGCCTTCTGTACCCCGCCTCCTCCCCTTCCGATACGCTCCATGCACTGGCTGAATCCTATAATAGAATGCAAGCTGAAGAAGAAGAAGCAATCTTTACTCACCAAGTTTTCTCGTGGACCCGTACATTTGCGATGCTAACGAAGTTTCTTCGGTGCGATAATGCAAGAATTTTTATTGCATTATTGTTCTTGAAATTGTGTCATCTAGTCCAGGTGCCGATTTCTGAAATCAAAAATTACGTACAATTAATGGTTGACTGTAGTTAGTAATCCAAACGATTTCGATTTGCCGCGTATTTATCGTTTTGTGGCGCTCTAACGTTTTCGCGTAATATTCGCAGAATATTGTAGTTGGCTTTCTTCTGCGCAAGAGCAACTGCACTATGGCGTGATGGCGCCTGGAATCCCGCTTAACTGGGTAACGTCCTGTCCCGCACCGCACCCACCGTTGGCACTTGGCGCTTACGTTATACTGCGTGTCATCACCACTTGTGTATTTGTTTTTTGGCCGTCTGTGATCGAAAATACGTTAGATATTGTATCCAGCCATAGTGCTCACTTCCGTACCTTCCTACCGGTAGAAGACCTGACACGTCGTGGTTTGTAGTAAGTACGTATCAGGTGAGCAATAATTAGGTGACGCACGCAGGCGAGAAAAAATAAATCAAGGCAAATGTGAAAGGACTGCATGTCACATTGCACATATCATTCGTTGGTAATAAATAACAAAATTGATAACATTATCATTGATAGACTTCCAATTCTTTAAATCTTTAATATTAATTATAAAAGTGATGTGTTAAAATCAACAGGGCGTGAGCTGACTGATTTCTTGATTCCACGTGGAAAGCGCAGAGCTTTGAGAATGGGTGAATCCATTATTAAATGCCTTTTGTAGGCGGATGATCAAGTTCTACTTTCATCATCCGTTAAAGAATTGCAGGAGATGATGAACTCAACGTAACTAAAGCATTGGTTTTTTAAAGACATGATGTTTGTTTTATAGGAAATGAAACTATTTGTCCGGATTTAAATCACGTATACTTCTTTTTTCAAAGAAACCGACGTTTCGGGACCTTTACAGGTCCCATGGTCACGGTTGACTGCGGTGGTACAGTCATCAACAAGTTAGGTCCAATATTAATGCAAACCACCCTATTTTTTCACTACAGTTACAAAAGTTATTTCACATACCTTATTTTTAATTTGACAAAGAAACATTTCAATTTACGCTACGTTGTGTTTTACAAATTGTTTTAACAAAATTGGAATTTTTATTAACTTAAATTTGTTATTAACTAATAATGAAAATTAGAATAAATGAAAACAAAAAATATTCATTACTACTGCATTTGTTCTAGTTATTTAGCACTAATTCACTCTTTCGTAGCCAGTTGTCGAGCTTGTCTTTGAAGGCATTAACAGAGACAGCAGAAACTACATCTTCCCTCTGTTGCTGAAAAAATTGTGTGCAGCAGGTGTTTTGTGGCCACGTGATGGTTTGAAGTTTTCTTTTCTTTTAAATATGCTTTGTATGTCTGGTAGATTGTACTGACACATCGGCGTAATACGCGTAGTCTCTCCTCATAGGATTTACCTCGAAGAGCCTGTGGCGTTTTAGTTGCCTTCCTTCCATTACAAGAGGTCAACCAGAAAAAAAGTTTGGGTACCTCTGGTTTATAGAATATTCGAAAGCACGAGTGTGAGCTAGTCCACTAAGTTCAACTAAAGTTTAATCAGTTGAACTAATATCCTGGATAAGAAAGAATGGCCCACGTATCCGGAGTCCGTGTTCTGTACTTCTACATAGTCAACGTACGCCTACTTTTGTATCTGATGTTTCGGCGTAACACTTACAGCACGGAGTTATAGTATACGGGAGTAAGAATCTTTCAATATTAGTGTCACTTCTAGGTAGGTTAGACATAAAAAACGTTAGTACAAATTATTAGAAAGTTAAAAGATGAATTCCGTCCAATAAAGGTCAAGTTTAAAGAAAATACATTGCTGAACTAATTGGAATATTTTTGTCCAATTAGTTTATAGTTTCCCGAAGTGGTCCCGTGGTTGACGCCGTCCAGGGGGTGCTACCGCATTTGAAAAAGAATCTGAATTATCTATGTAGACTTCGCTACATATTACACATATACATATAATTTGTCCTTGTGATTTAATAAAATAAAATACGTATTTTTTGTGGTGGTGGGCGTGGAAATTTTTTTATCTTACCAAGTGGGCGGTGAGGTGAAAAAATTTGGGAACCTATGAATTAGTTCAACTGATTTAACTTAGTGGAATAGACGACGAATGTCCATTAAATATCGTGGCAACTGTTTTTCAACGACCCTCAGTAAAATTGCTACATTATTTTATTGACACAAGGTTGATTTTTCAAAAAATATTAAGTCTACGCATGTATTAAGGAAAATTCCTCTTATTTATTACCTACATCCTTTTGAGGAAACTATTTGTTTTACAAAACCCAGTGGCAATGACTTTAACGGATCCTTGAAAATTAAACTGCAAAAGAAAACTTCAGAAAAAATGGTTCTTATTATAACGTTGCTATGCGACCGTACTCAATAGTTCGTGACACTCTCTACGAAGAAGGAACCGGACGGTTCGAAAAAACGTACATTATAAATTCTTTAAAGTCTTTACAAAAAAAAAAACGCTATTTAAAAGTGAACCTGTCAGGTGGCCGTGATACACAGAGCCAGGCGACAGGCCAGAGCGAGTCGTAGTCGTTGTCGATAGTCGGCTCGGTGTTGTAGTATCAGGTACATCGGGGTGAGGGGTCAACGTTGTTATAGGAGGTACAGGCAGAGATTCAGTTATATGATAGTGGGTCTCTAATGGGAAAAGACGTTGCAATGACGTACCTTCTCTCCGGAGGCGGTACGAACGTTTGCCACCCTGCTGTGACCATCCGCACCTGTATAAATCTCGGTTACGCGAGCAAGAGGCCACAAGATTTTCCTGCTCTACTAGAACAATGTCTCCTACTTGTACTTCTGTAGCACGATGTTGTTTCCCCTTATAAATTAGGTAGGCGACATACTAGTTGCGAAAACGTCGCCTGAGATCTTCACGAATTCTTTGGCAATATCGAGCTCTCACATTTAGTGACTTATTGTCAACGGCATCGATGTCAGGAACGCTATGTTCATTTATTGGCTTCATTCTCGTCGTTACCTACGTACGTCTGTGGTCTACTGTTTATGGTTGCTTCGCAATCGCAAAGTACTGTTCGAAGCTCAACTAGTGTTAAAGAGGCTCTGCCTAGACCTTGCCGAGCATCTCCTTCATGATGCGGATGCGCTCGTAGAACCCCCACCAAGGAGCACCGGGAGGTATGAAGTGCCATTTCGTTTGCTTCCAATCAACGAATTTCAGAAGATTGTTGAAGCCCGTAAAATTTGTTCTATTGTCGCTAGAAATTTCGCTTACCCGTCCTCGTCGAGCTATAAAACGCCGCAGTGCTGAACTAAAATCATGGGTTGATAAAGACTCTGTGACTTCGAAATGTACTGCACGATATGTTGCACATGTGAAAAGCACTATCCGGCACTTGGCGCCTGTTCTTAAAGTTAACGGACCAGCTAAATCTACACCGCTGACTTCAAATGCTGCACTAGCTGCGGTTCGTCCTTTTGGTAGATTTGCTCAATAAGTTTGTAGTGCCCTTGCTTTGTATCTTTTACATATTTTACAGCTTTTAACAACTTGCTTTACAACTTTCCTTATTCCCGTAATACACAGTCTTTCTCTAAGGTTTGCCATTAGCGTCTGTCTTCCAGCGTGTTGCAATTTTTGGTGCACACTACAATATCCGAACTAGGTAAAACAATTGGTGCCTTGAAGTCGTTACTGACATTCATGAAACCTAGTTTTGTTTCTAAGCGAACTAACCCATCAGTGTCAACAAATGTTTGCAGTTTGTCGATTTCGAAAGAGCGTTGCTTAGAAAGCGATTTCTTAGAGCGAATCCTAGAAAGAGCGTTTAAAGTCCAGAAGAAATGTATTCGAGCAATTTGCGGTGCGTTCGATGACAGTTGCAAACCGCTGTTCAAAAGGCTGAACATATTAATATTACCTTTGCCATGCATGTACATTAGGGATATCTGCGTAGGTATTTGTCAACTCTTATCCTCAATATTTTAAAACACGCGGTGAAGTCATTCAAGGGCAAACTAGAGCAAAAATTATGAATCTCTTATACCAACCTCGTTACCATAAAGTAATTTACAAGAATAACTGCTTCAACATGTGTATAATTATTTACAATAAATTACCAAACGAAATTAAATTGTTACAAGGACATACTTTTAAATTAAAATTGACAAAATGGCTTTTGACACATTGCTTCTTTAGTAATAAGGAATACTTAGAATTTACAAATTCATTACACTAATTAGAAACTATAGAGGCTAAAGAAACTTTGAATCCCATTAATATTTGCACATCTGCTTGCAGGTCGAATACAATGTACCTAATTTTACTTAAGACCTTTGTAATTACTGTATTCTGGAAAATAAACGTATTCTATTCTATTCTATTCTATTTGTTCCCAGCATTAGCTTGAATGACTCGAGACAATGCCTTGTCTGCATATTCCACCTCTCCACAGGTACTTAAGTGCGCCATACGGAAGCAAAGTACTTGGCTTGTGTTACACTCTAAGTATCCAAGCGATCATTCTAACTGACTTGGAATATTGTGAGAAATAATACGTTAATTTACTCGAGAATGTTGATACATCGACTAGCATCACGTTGGTACGAGTTTTCCTTCTTTCTTCGTTCACTTGAGTAGAATCAACGTGAAAATCTGTTGCAGGCCAGTACTCAGTAGGGTATAACCGGGATAGATGCCCCACTTTTTGAAAGGGCCTCCTAATTTAAAAATTATTAGTGTACCTACCATGAATAATTCCTATGGATATAACTAGTTTAATCTTTTGCATTACATTAATACTTGATTTTATTTATCTAATTTTTACTGATTTTGAAGAAATTGACTTTTTACAAACCTATTTTTTTGAGGATAGATGCCTACTTATGGATAGACGCCTCACAATGAAAATACTAAGAAGGATAGATGCCCTTTGGAATAAAATAATAAAATTCACAATAAAATGTTTTGTTTGTAGTCTTTAATATATTGTATGTACATATTACATCTTTAATAATAAATATATACGTATTTAAAGTTACTACCTACTTCACTTCGTATTTTTGTAGATATTAAAACATTCTATACAAAAATGTTCGCTGTTTAAACCGTTTTAAAACTGTGAATAATTTGTCTTTTTGGTACTTTTGCTTAATTTAAACTATTATCATTTACATGTTTTTTTTCTTGTCCTAACTTTCTTGTCTTGTCCTTTGCCCCTAAGGCACCAATACCGCGAAAAATCG